CCCGAGCTCAACAGCCTCCGTCTCCAACACAACACCAAATACTTAGCAGGCTCCCTTCACAAGCTGAACTTTGAAACAACCTTCTACTCTACCCCCTCCATCTACAACATAACACACAGTACCAACCCGCCTCCGTCTCCAACACAACACCCAATACTTAACATGCTCTGAAAACTGAACGTGAAAATCAGCTTCTACTCTGCCCACTCCGTCTACCGCACAACACCCACTACTAACCAGTCTCCGTCTCCAACACAAGACCTAATACTCAACAGGCCCCCTCCCCAAACTGAGTTTGAACATGAACTTCTACTCTACTCCTCCGTCTACGACACCACACCCAGTACTCAACCGCCTGTGTCTCCGACGCAACACCAAATACCCCAAAGGCTCCCTCACCAAGCTGAACTTGAAAATCAACTTCTACTATACCCCCTCCATCTACATCACAACACACCGTACTAACCAGCCTTCGTCTCCAACGCATCACCCATTACTCCACAGGCTCCTTCGCTGAGCTGAACTTGAAAATCACGTTCACCTCTGCCCCTGCCGACTACAACACGTACACATCCCGAGCTCAACAGCCTCCGCCTCCAACATAGCACCAAATACTCGTCAAGCTTCCTCCCCAAGCTGAACTTGAATTCTCCGTCTACAACACAACACGCAGTACTAACCATCCTTCGTCTCCAACATAACACCCACTACTCCACAGGCTTCCTCCCCAAGCTGAACTTGAAGATTACCTTCTACTCTAACCCCTCAACACCACACCCAGTACTCAACACCCATCGCCCCCAGCACACGAACCAACCCACTCCGAAACCTTCTCCTCCACTGGCGACGCGCGCACCTGAACCGCCCCTTTCCTCTAAGAGAAAAGGGGGGTCGTGGTGCTTGCGGAGATCTATATAATTGTGTATGTGTATACATACATACATACATACATACATACATACATACATACATACATACATACATACATACATACATACATACATACATACATACATACATACATATATACATATACATACATAGGTGTGTGTATATATATATATATACATGCATGTGTATGTAGATGTGCATGTATGTACGTATGTGCGTATGTATGTATGTAGGTAGGTAGGTAGGTAGGTAGGTAGGTAGGTAGGTCGGTAGGTCGGTAGGTCGGTAGGTAGGTAGGTAGGTAGGTAGGTAAGTAGGTAGGTAGGTGGGTAGGTAGGTAAGTATGTATGTATGTGTATATATATATATACATATAAAATATCCGCCTGGGCACGGAGTGTGCGTGTCCTCAGGCCCTTTGCCTAATCCCTGGCGCCGCAGTCCTAAGCCTTGGGGGGCCTTGCGCGGATCCAAGAAATCCGCGCGGAGCGCCACAAGCTCATGTTCTTGCTTCGAAACACGCACGTCGGGGAAAAAAATGCACCCCTCCCTGGGCTCGCCGCCAAAACCGAAAATCCGAGCCTTCTGCTCCAAGAGGCCCCCAGGACGCCCCAAGAGGTGGCTGGGAGGCCCAAGAAGCCCCCAAGAGGCCCAATAGACCCCCAAGAGGCCCAAAAGAGGCCCCAAAAGGCTCCAGAACGGCCCCCAAGAGGTTTCCAAGCTGCCTCCAAGAATCCCCCGAGAGGCCTCCCACGAGATCCCAACGAGCATCCAATAAGCTCCATACCCACAACCCACGCACGGTGGCGGGATGGGCCGAAGGCATTAGATCCGCCGCCCCCTGTTGATTCATCACAAAGGTACCTGGCGTGCTAGATCCTCTTGGTTTTGGTTCTTTTCCAAAAGAACTCCCCCCCCCGGCCTCCGGCGCGTCCCGCTGGGGTCCCGGGAAGGTGCCCAATCCGGAAAAAATCCCCCAAGATGGCTCAAGATGGCGCCAAGATGGCCACGTTGGCCCAAGATGGCCTCCAAGATGGGCCCCCAGAGGCTCTCCAAGGAGAAGCCTCCACAAAAAGAGCTGAGGAGGTGGGGGGAATGCGCAGGGCACGGCGAAAATGAAGAAAAAGAAGCATGGAGGAAGGACAACGAATAACATTACGTAGCACCCCACAATTGCGGATAAGAGTGAGGGGGCGGGCGCGGGCGACGCGGGCGTCACGCCCCCCTCAGGGTCCTTGAGCGCCCCGAGGCCCCTTAATTGTGGGCGCCGTGAGGCAGCTTCCCCTGAACCCAGGCTTTGGGCACGGATGCCGAATTGCAGCAGGCAACTAGATTGTCAATGAACGTGTTCAGACACAGCCCCGCCGCAAGCGCCGATGTGCTGTTGTAGAGTCAACGTGGGCCGGAACGGGGCAATGGCACGAGGGCGCTTTCCCAAACCAATGCGAGCAAGCCCGCCGCAGGCGCCGATTTGCGTGCTCTGACAAGTTCAGCGCGGAGGGGGATCGCTGGTGGGCCACCCGGAACGAATGCAAAAACACCCCGCCGCAGTCGCCGAAGTTTTGGCTTGTTCAGTGAACGTAGTTTGGGTCGCGGGTGGGTCGTGGGCTCTCCACCTCCACCTGGAAGGGACTCAAAAACAGCCCGCCGGCGGCGCCGAAAATTTTGATTTGTACACTGAACGCAGTTTGGGTTGCAAGCTCTCCGCCTGGAATGAATGCAGCAGAAACCCGCCGCATGCGCTGAAGTTTTGGCTTGTTCAGTGAACGTAGTTTGGGTCGCGGGTGGGTCGTGGGCTCTCCACCTCCACCTGGAAGGAATTCAAAAACAGCCCGCCGCAGGCGCCGAAAATTTGGATTTGTACACTGAACGCGGTTTGGGTCGCGGTTGGGTCGCAGGTTCTCCACCTGGAACGAATGCAAAAGAAGCCCGCCGCAGGCGCCGAAAATTTTGGGTGGGTCGCGGGGTGGGTCGCGGGTGGGTCGCGGGTGGGTCGCGGGGTCGCGGGTGGGTCGCGGGCGCGGTTTGGGTCGCGGGTGGGTCGCAGGTTCTCCATCTGGAACGACTGCACAAGAAACCCGCTGCAGGCGCCACAAATTTGGGTGGGTCGCGGGGTGGGTCGCGGTGGGTCGTGGTGGGTCGCGATGGGGTCGGGATGGGTCGTGGGTGGGTCGCGGGTGGGTCGCGGTGGGTCGCGGGTGGGTCGGGGGGTGGGTCGCCGTGGGTCGCGGGTGGGTCGACGTGGGGGTCTCGGGGTGGGTCGCGGGCGGGTCGCGGGGTGGGTCGCGGGTGGGTCGCGGGTGGGTCGCGGGGTGGGTCGCGGGTGGGTCGCGGGGTGGGTCGCGGGTGGGTCGCGGGTGGGTCGCGGGGTGGGTTGCGGGTGGGTCGCGGGGCGGGTCGCGGTTGGGACGACGAGAACAAACAACAACAACACCACCACCACCACCACCACCACCACCACCACCACCACCACCACCACCACCACCACCACCACCACCAACAACAACAACAACAACAACACCAACACTAACACCAACGACAACAAGAAACCGCATCGCGGAATCCCACTTCAGCCACGCACCCAGAGACAGTGAATCACCGTTCGGTTCAGCCCCCTCACTCTGATTATAGCGGCGATGCCGGAAAAGGCAACAAGGACTTATCGCTAAATTGTCGGCTTCACCTTCCTGCTTTTCCGCCTGCGTACCAAACTTCAAGGACCAAGGTGCATGGCGTGAAGTGCCGCTGCAATCTTGTATTTACATATATGTGTACGTATGTATACGTATGCATAAGTATGTATACGCATGTATGTATGTATGTATGTATGTATGTATGTATGTATGTATGTATGTGTGTGTGTATGTATGTATGCATGCATGCATGTATGTATGTATGTATGTATGTATGTATGTATGTATGTATGTATGCATGTGTGTATGTACGTATGTATGTATGTATGCATGCATGTATGTATCTATGTATGTATGTATGTATGTATGTATGTATGTATGTATGTATGTATGTATGTATGTATGCATGTCTGTATGTATGTATGTATGTATGCATGTATGTTGAGCGTATGAATGTTTATATATATATATATATATATATATAGATCCGCTTCATTTTTTTCCAGGGCCGGGGACGCGGACCCCCCCCAACGAATTTGGCCCTCCCCGGGCCTCTGGGCAACCCCCCAGACGACCCCGGGAGAACCTCACAAGAGCCTGAAGACAGCCCCAGACGGGTTCCAGGCGTTCCGGCGCACTCCCGAAACGACCCCAGAGAGCCCCAATACGGTCCACGACGATCCCCAAGAAGCTGTCATACCCCCAAAGATCGCTCCAAAACGTCCCAAGAATCCTCCAAGAGCACTCCCAAGAAGGCCCCAAGAAGCACAGATCATTGATTTTCAAAAAGTTTTTGGTGAATTGTTGGGTTCTCCTCTTTTCGGCTTCCCGACGCTCCAAGACGGCGGTCTTCTGGGCGTCCGAAGCCGACTGGGAGGCTTCAAAGTCGCCCCACAACCATCCGAAAGGGCTTCCAGGCAGTCCAAGAAAGCCCCAAAACGGCACAACATGGGTCCAAGATGACCCTCAGAAAGCCCCATGGCGGCCCAAGATGGCTACAAAACACCCTCCGAAGCATTCCAAATCGTGACCCGGTCGTTCAGGGAGACCGCGGTCGGGGGCAGGGTGGCCCGAGGAAGCCCCCAGAGGTCCCCAGAACACGCCCAGGAGGCCTCCAGAAGGCCTTAAGAAAGCCTGAGAACTTGTGTGAGGCTCCCAGAGGCTCTCCAAGGAGGAGCCTTCGCAAAAAGAGCTGAGGAGGATGGGGAGAATGCGCAGGGTATGGCGAGAATGAGGAAAAAGACGCATGGAGGAAGGATCACGAATGACATCATTACGACGGCGATGCCGGAAAAGGCAACAAGGAGTTATCGCTAAATTGTCGGCCTGACCTTCCTGCCATTCCGCCTGCACACCGAACTGCAAGGACCAAGGTGCACGGTGCGAAGCACCACTGCAGTCTCGTATATATATATATATATATATATATATATACATATCATATACTAATGCGTGTGGCATTTGAACTCACCGGCGGGCCTCCGCTGGGCTGCACTGGTGGGGTCTGCGCTGGAGCCGCAGGGGCTGCTTCATCGACGCCGGCCTCGAACCACATATCCTCATCGGCGCCGGCCGGGAAAGGCGGCCGCAAGTCTCACCCTGCGATGACATCGTTGCGGGATTACGTATCACTGGGAGCGATACAGAAACGACCCTTGCCTACCCCAGACGACATCGCACGACCCCAACGACACCGATTGGACCCGTCGGCCGCAAAAGATTTCAAACGACTCTGACCGGCACTAGGTGGACCTTAGACACCCTCTTGCGGAATGTTTTACGCAACGCCCCGCAACAACGAAAAGGAAGGACGAGGGGCCTGCGAGCGCGCCCGCGCGCGCCAGGCAGGACCGAACGGGCCCTCACTAACACTCCCTTGACTCGCTCCCTCCACCAACGTCTGCGGCGACCACAGAGCGGACGCGCGCCCGGGGACGAAACGAGACCGTCTGGCCCCCCCTCTCGGGGGGGCCGGACCCTCCCCTCGCTGACCTCCGCCGGCTTCCGCCAGGCGTCCGCAGGCCTCCGCTGGCAACGGGGTCATTTGCTTGCTTGTTCGGCTTTGTACTTCGGCCGGCGTCTGCGGGCCCTGCGCCGGCCTCCGCCGATGGGGGGGGGGGGATAAGGAGGAGGAGGGGGAGGAGGAGGAAAACCAACGGGGAGGAGGATACAACAGTCCTACGGAGGAGAAAGAAGACGATGATGAAGAATAATGAGAAAACAATAAGGAGAAGCACAATCATGATACTAAGACAAGTCGTATATTAATGATAGTGAAAAGATGGGGAGGAAGAAGACGACGAGGAGGAAGAAGACGACGAAGACAAGAAGGGGCCATCGCAATTACCACAACTTCCAAAAACAGACTTAGCTCATCACCCTGGGGTACGTGTGATCGGGGAATTAGCCTTGCTCTCCCCTTTGGTACCGACCGACCTTCTGCTCGCTGCTGCACAGGCCGGTCAGCAACTCGCAGGGCCCGCCACTCCTGGGTATCATCACCGTATCGCTGAGCCACACGGCACAGCTCGTGCCCTGGTCAGCACTGAAGCCCACGGAGATGCAGAAGACCATGCCCGCCAGCACCCTCTGATCCGACTTCTCGGACAGCACCAGCAAGGGGTCCTTAAACTCCAGCCCCATGGCGAAGCCGACGTTCTTCACGAACCGCTCGACGAGAACGGCGCTCTGCTCCTGGACCCTCGCCCTGGCAGCCGCATAGATGTCCCTGAACACGGCCCCCGGCACCAGGGCGCTGATCCGCCACCGTGCCTTCGGCACGCTGTGGAGTCTTAGAGTGCCTGTTCGCTGCCTGGTGAGGCTTATGGTAGCTTTCCAGGGGCGCTCCCCCCCCTTCGCGAGGGGGGGCCAACAAATCGCGCTTCTCGTCTGGATATCTGGAGCTCTTTGGCGCCCCTGGACGGTTCCAAGACGCCCCCGCGGCCCAATGGCGGCTGCAACGAGTCCCAAAACCTTCTGCGGCTTAACGACACCTCAGAGGCCTCAAGATGCGACCGAGACGCTTCCGAACGGCGCCCACAGAGGCCTCTGGCGAAACCCTGGAAGGCAGATACACATTTAACACCTGGTGCGGCTCGAGACGACGTCTGGAAGGCGGGGCCCATGAAGGCCCCAGGAAGGGCCAAAACATCGCCGCTAAGCTTGACCCATTTCGTGGCTCCACCAAGATAGTGCCCAACGACGGCTCCAGTGGTGGGCAGGGACGATCACGCCATGGAGCGCCAGAGCCTGCGAGCAGCAAGACGCCGCCTCCATTTCGACTCCGAATCAGACAAGATTCGAAACTAGGTTTTGAGGCGGCCATGGGAGGAATCACCATTTCGACTTTGAAACAAATGGTTTTTGGCTTTTGTGTTGGATTAAGTGTTGGGTGGAATCGCAATTTCGACTTCGAACCCGAACATTGCGACTTCGGTCGAAATTGTGTCTTGAGGAGGTCTCAGGCGGAATCGTCGTTTCGACTCGGGCAATACGTTTGGCAAAACTCATAGTTCGGTCGCCCGAAAAGTCGAACACATGTTTTTTCGTGGGACTTTCTCGAAATAACGATTTCGATCTGATGTCGCTGCCACTCGGCCCGAAACTGAAATAGCGATTATGCCCAATACTTCTTCGAAGAAACGTGTTTCGGCCGAAGTCGAAACTCCCTGGTCGGAAATCCAGGCTGCGTGAAAATGCCTGCGCCATACGAGGTGGCGAGACGCACGGGTTTCTTTCGAAATGTCCTCCGTCGCCGAACGGGAAGAGTGAAAACTTGACCGACCTTTGGCAGCGGCGAAGTAGCCCTCACCCTCCCCCCAAGACGGCCCCAGCCCGCCCCAAGATGGCCCCGAGACAGTCCCCAGACCCGCCCAGGCAACCCTCGGCAGCTCCTGGCGCCTCAAAGGGAGGCCCGTGGGGGATGCTCTCGGGGTGGAGGGGAAACCTGTTGCTACGTGTGGTGGCCCCCTGGGGGTGTGCGCCTGGCCTCCCCCCGGGTCCATGCTCGCACCTGTTGGACACGCGGGGCACACCTTCTTGGACCCGCTCCGACTCCGTTGGACACATGCGTCGTGGGGTCCATCGCCCCCCCGCGTCCTTGCACACCCGGCCAGGGACCTTAAACCAAGGGCGCCCAACGTTGCGCTTCGCGCTGCGCGAACAACTTCGCGCTCTCGCGCCGCCCCCCCCCCCCCTCAAGGGAGAAGGGGGAGGACGAGGAGGAGCCGGGGCCGAACCGCGGAGCGCGAATAACCCCGCGCCCTCGAGGGCGCCCTGTTGAGCGGCGACAGGAAAGGGGGGGGGCAGGCTTTCGCTGCCCGTCGCTCGGGCGTCCCTTCCCTGTGTTTTTCGGTTTCGGGCGTGCTTTTCTGTCGCAGGATGATCCAGGATGCTCCTTAATCCTCCCCGCCGAGAAAAAGGGCACGCGTCCGAGCGATGCCGAGTTCATGTTCGGGCCTCGGGCCTACAGGCTTGGAGCTCTCTCGCGTCCTGCTTGGCCTCGGCCGCCCGAGCGGGAGCACGCTGCCTCCGCCGAGCCTCGTCACGAGAGCTGCGCAGGGCCGTCGCTCCCACGGCGCCCCGAGATCTCCAAGGGGCCCTCCGAGAGGGCTCCCAAAGGGCCCTGACTGAGCCCCGAAGAAGCCTCTCAAAGAAACCCCGACACGCAGCGCCGCCATGCAATGTCACGGCCGCGCCACGCCACAACATCGCAGAGCCGCTCTGCAAGCGACCCGAATCTGGTCATGCCGAGGCTGTTCGGAAACATGAGCAGGACCAGCCTGCGTGCATTTGATGCCTCGCTGGCACACTAGCGGGGCTCGCCACAAGCATCTGGATAATCTGCTTTTGCACTTTGTGCGCGAGGGTATACGCCTCCTTTTGTTCGGACGTGGGATCTACAAGCATGGCACGGGGGGAGACAAACGGGAGCACCAGAGCAGAGCAGCACACATCAACAATCTCAGGTCTGGGGGCGACGATCAATCGCAGTTTGCGCCAGAGGCAACAGTCCTCAATCTGAGCTGGCCCAGAGGACCAATACACCACATAATGTAAACAGGAGCTCAACTAGTTTGTCGGGCCACAATGCCATGCCTTCAGCCTCCAATTCCTACCCTTCTGGTGATCAGGATGTTGGAGGGGGGTGCAGCTTTCGTTTTTCGATTGGCGTCGGATTGGATTCGTGATATCTATGTGTGTGTATATATATAGATCCGTCGATCCGGCGTGTGAGCTTCAAAAAGCGCGACGCCGATCCGGCGTGTGAGTTTAAAAGAGCGTGAGCTTGAGCTTCGCTTGAGCTCCGCTCTGCTGGGGGGGGGGGGTGTCAGCGCTTTCGGCTCCCCCGCCTCCGCTCTGCAGGGAGGGGGCAGCGCTTTCGCCCCCCCCGCCTCCGCTGTGCAAGGGGGGGGAGGTCAGCGCTTTCACCCCCGCCTCCGCAATGCAGGGGGGGCTGTCAGCGCTTTCGCCCTCCGCTCCGCTCTGCTAGGGTCTGCAGGGAGAGGGGGGTGTCAGCGCCTTCGCCCTCCCGCCATCGCTCTGCAGGTGGGGGGGTGACAGCGCTTTCGCCCGCCCCTCCGCTGTGCAAGGGGCAGGGGTGCCAGCGCTTTCGCCCCTCCCTTCCGCTCTGCTAGGGGGAGGGAAGGGGGGGTCCTCCTCTCCGCTCTGCCATGGGAGGGGTCAGCGCTTTCGCCCCCGCCTCCGCTCTGCAGGGGAGGGGGGGGGGCAGCGCTTTCGCCCCCCCCTCCGCTCTGCAGGGGGGGGGATCAGTGCTTTCGCCCCCGCCCCCGCTTCTGCCCGCTTCCGCGCTCGCGCCCCCACGCCCCCGCACCCTCGCCCTCGCTCTCGCCCCGGCCCTTGCCCGCGCCCGCGCCCACGCCGTCGCCTCCGCCTCCGCCCTCGCCCCTGGCTGCCACCGCCATCTCGCCCCAACTGCGTCGTCGTCGTCGTCGTCGTCGTCGTCGTCGTCGTCGTCGTCGTCCATGTACACCGGCATCCGGAGCGCCCCAGATCGGCGGCACTGGCAGGAGGCCGCTACAATATCGATCTCCCTGTCTATCGGTCCCACTGTATGCCTATCGACCTCACTACCAACGTGCCTATCGATATACGCTTCTGACATTTTGGCTACTACCTATAACGATGCCACTATATGCCTTGCGGTTTGACTATCCGTCGGCTTCACTCTCTATCCATAAAACGCACCATCAATGTAGCTGTATGTGTGCACTGTGCATGTGTATCTATATTTATATATCACATGGATCTCACTATGCATCGATCTAACACTATCATAATTCTATTACTATCAGCAGGAACCCATCGATCTCGCACGTGGCATTCACCGCCAACCACGGGACCGTCACAATCACCGTCGGGACAACCGCAGGACAATCACGAAACAACCATAGGAACATCGCAGGACAACAACGGGAGAGCCACAAGACAATAAAGAGACAACTACGGGACAACGTCAGGACAACCACAGGACAACACAGAACAACCACAGAAGGATCACGGGACAACCCAACGACAATCGCGGGACAACCCGCGACTCACCGCCCGCTGACGGGGAACAGCATATGATTGCATCCTTCCCTGTAAGGCCGTTACTACCTTTGCGCAGCCCGCCTCGCCCGCACGCCCGTCATGCTCGTCCCGAACCGAAGCCGAAACCGAGTTTCCGGTTGGGGACTCCGTTGCACTTTGATCCCGCTCCCCAGACTCCGAACTACACTGCGTTTCTACCCAGACAGGACGTGGTGATCGAATGGAGATTCCCCTCGAGTCAGTGCTCGAATGGCCCCTTGCGTAATCCGCCCAAATCTCCTGCGACCTGATTTTTGTGCAACGTGCCCCCCCTCCCCTTCCCCCCGGCACCGCGGCTTGTTCTCTGAAGTCTCCAGGGGCCGAAAGCAGCCCCCGGGATAAGAAAGCACATGTGCGGAGGAGAAGGAGGAGGAGGGGGGGGAGGAGGAGGAGGAGGAGGAGGAGGAGGAGGAGGAGGAGGAGGAAGGAGGAGAGGAGGAGGAGGAGGAGGAGGAGGAGGAGGAGGGAGGAGGAGGAGAGGAGGAGGAGGAGGACGGGGAGGAGGAGGAGGAGGAGGAGGAGGAGGGGTGCTTGCTCGCGCACCCCACGGTCTGGGCCGCGAGTGGCCCCGGCGCTCCCGCCGGCAGCTCCCCCCGGCATGGTCCTCGAGATGCACGCCGAGTACTCGGCGTACTTCATGCCTGCAGGGCGCGGGGCGCTCGGGGCGACCCACGGTGCCCCGCGTGCGCGGGGGCCCCTCGCTCCCGTGTGGTGCGCGCCCTCTCGAGAGATTGGCCCCCCCCCCCCCCCCCCTCCCGTGGGGAGCTCTCCTTCGCACGTGGAGCCCCAGAGCATGCCAAAGGCCCGCAGTCTCCGCTGCCTTGTCTCAACCTCTCGGAGACCCACCACCTCCTCCTCCTCCTCCCACCATCCCTCGCTCCTTTCCTCCTCGCTCCTTCTCCTTCCTCCCTCGCTCCTTTCCTCCTCGCTCCTTCTCCTTCTCCTCCTCCTCCTCCTCTTGTCCCCCTCTCCTCCGCCTCCTCCTCCTCCTCCTCCTCCTCCTCCTCCTCCTCCTCCTCCTCCTCCTCCCCCCTCCCTCCCTCCCTCTTCATTCCTTCCTCCTAACTCGGTCAATCGGTGCAATCATTCACATGCGGGCCGTTCTGCGAAGACCAGAAGCCCGTTTCCCTCTGGCCTAACCGAGGCAAACTGTACGTCGCCCTCCTTCCCCATCGCTGAAAGGCCGCGGGAGCCGAGCAGCGCATCTGGCCGAGTAAATTCTGATTCACGCCCAAACGCGGCATCACATAGGCAATCCTGATGGCGCGATGGTGTTTGGATGTAGCTTCAGACTAATATGATGCTCGATGCTCAACTCAATTTCGCACCTGTCTGGGCGAATGCGTTCGGCAACGTCGAACCGGCGGCGCTCCTACGGGCGTTGCGAAGTTTTCCAGCCCGGCAAAGTGCTCGACAGGTGGGCGCGATCTACATCGACGTAGGGCAGACGTCGGCCGTGCAGGAGCAGTGGCAAACATGTTAAGGCTGTCGGTGTTCGACTTTCTTGTGCCCTGAGCTGATGGGTGTGCCAACGACAGACGCTACACGTACGACAGGGCAGGGTGGACTGAACGTCAAAGTTCTTTCCTACACCATGATCGTGACGGAAGACAGGGGCTGGGCTTCCGAGTGCATGCAGCCATCGCAATCATCAGGGCCAACTTCGGGCCGAACCGCAAAAGTCGCATCAGCTGTGCAGCCTGCACAACAAGCTTGAAGGCAGCGGAACCGTCGACCTTCGTCTCAAGCCCGAAGTTGCTTCCAAAATGTTTGGGTATCTCGCCGTCACGCAAGCCACATTACCAATGGTCTTGTTTTCAGACAAGCGAGACAGAGCAGGCTGAGCAGTGCCATGTAACGTCAAGTAGCCCCGGTCGGGCAGAGTGCACGGATGGGCGACGACCTCCCCGTGCGCGGTACTGCTCCCAAATCGTTGAATGTGGAGCTTCGCAGTCCAGCATTGCTTCATTCACTCGTCTCGCCATCGCTCGGACGTCCATTCCTCGTGTATTTTTCGATTTCGTGCTCGTTTTTTTCGCCAAATGATCAAGGATGGTCCTCGATGGCCGTCACCGAGGAAAACATGCACACGTCCGAGCGATGCCAAGTCGACTGATCCTGCCCAGCCTGAGCTTGAGACGCTGACACACACACACACACATAGAAGTACGCCTTTGAGAGCTTTCTGCGTCCGTGTGCTCGTTCCAGTGCATCGATGCTGTGCTGTCTCAGCAGACCGTTGCAGACATTGCTCGCTGGCTGGCGAACCCGAGCTAAGACCACCAGCCGTGCTTAGCCGTACCCTGCTTGTTTACGCGCCTTGGCACTCGATGTTCTTATGATCCCGAGCTGGAGCCCAGAACACCTCTCTCCTCCCTCCTTCCTGCTCCGTCTGCCATCTTTCCCCCTTCCCCCTTCGCTTCTCCTTCCCCTTCTCTTCCTTCTGGCCATGGGACTCTTTGGAACGCTCAGGGTGCTTCAAACCACATTCACCTCCCTAGAGGTCCCTTCTCCCCCGCCCTCCTCCTCCTCCTCCGACCTGCTTTCTCCTTCTTCTTGTCCTCGTCGTCGCTGCGTTCATCTGTTCGCCGTCCTCCTCTCCTCTTCTTGTGCTGACGACCTCAGCCCCGATGGGCAACACAAGGCAACATGATATCCACAGAGAGCAGGACCGAGCCTTAAAACGCCTTCCGAATTTCGCAGAGGCTCCCTCCTCCTCCTCCTTCTTCTCCTTCTCCTCCTCCTCCTCCTCCTTACCCTTACCCTTATCCTCCTCCTCCTCCTCCTCCTCCTCCTCCTCCTCCTCCCCCCCACGTCCCCTCTTCCTCCCTCCACAATTACTCAATATGAATACTACTCTCCTCCTTCCCCTGATGACGGGTTGGGAGTGTTCGCCCCCCCCGCCCCCCCCCGCGTACTGTTTTTTACACACAGGATTCCCCAGAGTTGGGTTTTCGCCTGCATTTTTTTCAAAATGCTGCTCTCGCTGAGGCGCCGTTTCGGGCCCCGCTCGCTCCGAATCGTGCTCCCGCTGCAGCGCTGGCCTCATTTCAGTGCTTCCGCTCGTTCCGAATCGTGCTCCCGCTGCAGCGCTGTCCTTATTTCCGCGCTTCCGCTCGTTCCGAATCGTGCTCCCGCTGCAGCGCTGGCGTCATTTCCCGTGCCATGCCACGGCATGCAATGCAATGCTAAGTTGCGTTCCGCTGCGCGATGCCATGCCTTCAGCTGAAGCTGTGATATGCAGTGCTTAAGTGCCACGTCGTGCTATGCCATGCTACGCTTTGATCTTCAACGCCATGCTATGCAATGTTATCTTCGGGGCCGCTGTGCGATGCCATGCTTTGCGTTGCAAAGTTTTGTGATGCAATTCTTCACTACGCCACGCCACGCCATGCTGTGACATACCACGCTTTGCGGTGCTCTTCTACGCCATGCCATGCCGTGCTCTACAATGCATCGCGTACCCTTTCGGGATCATTGCCCTGCTCGACATCCGACTGTGCGAGTAGAGAGGGGATCTGCGCCATGGTAAGGGATGGGAGGGAGGGGTAGGATGTCAGGTATGACGCGAGCGCACCTAGCTTGCCCTCCTCCCCCTCCCCCTCCTCCCCCTCCTCCTCTTTCCGTGGCCATTTCTGCGCAAGAGCCAACCACGCGCGCGCGCTGGGCTGGCCTGGCGCCGGCGGCATGGCGGCGGTGCAGCCCCTTCCGGGGGATGCGATGCTGGTGTACGCTGCGATCTTGGCGGAGGCCCCTGGCGGGGCCCCTCCGCGCCCCTGCAGACCAGAAGGTGGGCGTGCTGGAGCTGCTCGCGGAACAGCGCTTGCCGCGCTCCGCAAGGTCCAGTGTGAGGCAACAAGCGGGGCGTGCGCAGCGACCAGGAGCGTCTCGGCGCACCACGGGTTCGGCGCGGGGCGGCGCCCTGGTGGAGGCCCTGGGCAGCGCCAAGGGGACTCAGCGCGGCCCGTCGGCTTCGGCGCCCCATCTCGCCGTCGAGTGCGGGCAGCGGTGGCGCCACTGGCACGGCGCACAAGTTCAAAGGCGACATCGGCATGCAGAGCAGCATGGAGGCGAAGATCGACAAGTCCGAGGGCCACGTGCAGGAGTCGCACCTCCAGAAGAAGGTCGTGGGTCTCGCCGAGGTCCGCGTGCAAGCGGTGCGACTGGAGGAGAAGGCCGTGAAGTTTGCCGACGCCCGCGCGCAGAAGTCTGTGGCCCAGGGGACCAACAAGCTGGCTGAGCAGGTCGTGGAGGGTGCCGCCGTCCACGTGCAGCCGACCTGCATAAGGAGCAAGGCTCAGAGGACGAGCTCTTGTCGCAGCAGGAGGCCACCGGGATGATCGAGGAGTCTCTCGCCCCAAATCGGGCCGCGCAGGTCACGGAGCTCCACGTCCAGAAGGAGCCTTCCGAGGCGGAGGTGGTGAAGCAGAAGCATGCCGATGCCGTCCTGCAGGCGGAGCGCTCCGTGGCAGAGCACGCCCAACACGTCGTCCGCGCGCCGCCGTCCGAGTGCGGCCGCGACGACGCGCCCGCGGCGCAGCGCGAGGCCGCCGAGGTGATCGAGGACACGCTGGCCCCACCTCGGTGCCGCAGTGCGTTCCTTCACCCGTGGGGCGGTGCCGCCACGGCGCGCCCCGCCCCGTGCTGAGGGGCAGGGGCCGCACGGGCGGCACGGGGGGGCGGCGGCGGACGGAGGCTCACGGCGCGGCCGAGGGTGCCGCGCCGTCGTGCGCAGCGTGCGAGGCCCTGCGGTGCTCAGCGGCCCATCCCCCCCCCCCCCCAGGTCTCCAGCCACGGGTTGGTACAGTCGGGGCGTTGACCTGAGGAGCCCTAAATAAGGAACGAGGCCCCTTTTTGTCCATATGTTAAACTTGATTTCCGATCGAAAACATAAGGGCAACCTGAGGCAAGCTGTGAAACACTCAAGGAACGCGGAGCCCCTCCCCAACGAAAAGGGTTCCTTCTTCAGGGCCCCGACTGTAGTGAGGCGAGGGATGGGCTGCGCCTGGTCGGGGTTCCCTCGGCGCTTCCCCGAGGGAGCCTCCCGGCCAGGCTGGTGCAGGTGGCGCATCCCGGGCGCGGGCTGGTGCGGGCGGCGCAGCTGGAGGACGGCTGCGGGACCTCGCTTCCTCCTCTCTGCAGCGTGCGATCCTCCTCCTCTTCACCCCAGCACGCCGCAGAACCTCCTACGACCCGACCGAACCTCACGACACCCGTGAGAGCTCCAAATGCTCCTTGCACTCCTCGTCCTTCAGAGGTGTACCCACGGGGGCAGGGGGGCGCGCGTGTGTCGACCTCTGCAGGCTCCCCCGCCACACTTCGAGCCGGCACGCGCCTATGCTCATCAAGTAGGACCCCTGCATGGGCACCGCTGCGTCGTTGGGCTCCACCTGCGGTGCAGCCGGACAGCCTCCTCACCCCAGGAGCAGGATGGGGGACAGGAACCCCAACACCAGCCACTCATGCTGCAACATGCCTCCGATCCTGAGCTCACCTCCTCATGAGCCAGTCAATGCAATCATATCCCCTTTCACGACTGCAATCACAAAGGTAACACGTGTTTTCTGGCAGTGCGCATCACCGATCAGAGTTCGAGTCGACCGCATGACAGTTCAGCCACGAAGAGCTCGGGAGAGTGAACTGTCTTCCGATTCATTCAGCTGGTGGGAGCTTAAAGAATCTTTGTGCCTTTCAGCATCTGCCAGCTGCTGGGAATATCAAGAGTTTCGGTAATGAGACCAGACGACACCTCAGGCGAGAGCTCCATGCTTGAAAAGCAATGCTCTGCATCCATAGAGATGCAAGAACAGTCAGGCTTGTCATGCTAGCGAGCATGTCAGGCAGGTCCGTGCGAGGACAAGATTTTGAGGACGGATCGCCCTCCATCTACATGGCTCTTGAATCTCACGCCTGGGACGTAACTCATCCTCAACAATATATCGGTGTCGAAAGTGAACCAACCTCCCACACATGCACCCTCTCGAGATCTCAAACTCTGGAATTCTAAAGCCTGGGAAAATATTGAGCGAGAGCCGCATGTTGAAGAACTGGACTCCATCCGTGTCGCTGTTGGGAATATTTGCGATGAATGTGCGCGGCGCGAAGGCCAGAACCGTATCTTCAAGAAGAGCCGCTCTTTACTCGATCTGTGCCTGTCGGATTCGTCTGCAACGAATGTGCAGCGCTGCGGCGGGAATCAAATTTTTAAGGCGATTCAGATCCGCTGGTGTAACTGTTCTAAGCGGTTGAGACGACTATGCAACTGGGGGAGCCGTGGTCCTAACCCCCCTGGGGGAACCCATCGCATCGACGATCTCTCGAGAGGGGCGTCGAGATCGAGGGGTCCCCCTGGGGGGTAAGGACCACAGCTCCCCCAGTCGTGGCTGACCAGGAGCGGTTGTAACTGTTCTAAGCTGTTTAAGGCGAGAGCAACTCGTGCAGCCGGTCCGCCCTCCGTCCGTGTCGCTGGCGCTGGTGGAGGCTAACAAGACGAGCGTGCGCAGCGCTGCAGCGGGAACACCATTCTGCAGACGAGCTCGGCTCCACCGGTGTAGATGCTGACCCTCACCATCCTCGAGTTCGTACGCCGTGAGGAAATATCAAGCGAACCGTCCGAACCGCCCTACCGATACGTCTGGTGGTGCAGCGAGGAGCTGTGCACAAGAGTGAATGGTGGAGGAGAGATAAACGGAGGTCTTGGGAGGTTCCTGGAAGTATCCAGGACTCCATGGAGGACAGGAGGAACCGCAACACGCATCTCCCAAATCCCCACTCAGGTAACTACATCGGAGCAGCTGTGCTTAATAGTCTAACCATACCCACGCCTGTGCCTCTGTTCAGTCTGCCACTTCCGAAGCTCAGAAGTGGGATGATCTGCTAACTACTGGCCGACAAGAAGCATGCATCCACCCCCGCCCCATAACCGTGAACTATTGCTGGAATGTCCACTCCGCGTGTCTCGAATTCGTGCCCCTGACTTTCCCAGGAACGCACTTTTGAGGGGGAACTGGGACACACAAATAAATAGACACAAATAACCAGATTCCCCATATTTTTCCATATTTTCTGAGTTTTTGTCTTCCTTCCAACTTCCCATATTTTCCCATATTGTCTGGGGAATCGACGATTCATTGTGTCTGTGTTTTTTTTCCCTCCTGAACTTTGACCGTCAATTTGACCAAGAATTCGAAGCCGATCCAGCCGTGGCGGCGAGGTGCTCCCCTGGCGGTCGAGGAAAGCACTGCCATCGCAGATCCTCTTCCAACTCCTTCTCGTCCTACAACTCCTTGTGCTCCTCCCTCTCCTCCTCGTCCCTCCCTTCTCCATCCCTTCTCTCCATCCTTTTCCCCCCACCCCTTCTCTTTCTTCTCTTCCTTTCCCTCCTCCTATTCGTCCTCCTTCAATTGATTCCTCTCTCATTTTTCCTGTTTCCTCCCCCTCCCTCTCCCCCTCCCTCCCATGGCGACCGTGTGCTTGAGGTCGAATGGCGCGCCGCTCTGCAGGGATACGCAGAAGAGGTCCATCTCCGCAGGGTCCAGGCCGTGCTTTCGCCCCCACTGCGCCATGAGGGCCTCTGCCGGGGCGTGCCCCGTCCTCCAAGCGCATCCCCCCGCGAGGAGGAGGAGGAGGAGGAGGAGGAGGAGGAGGAGGAGGAGGAGGAGGAGTAGAAGGAGGAGAAGGACGATCCCTGAGATGATGAAGATGAAGATGAAGATGAAGATTAAGATTAAGATTAAGATTAAGATTAAGATGAAGATGAAGATGAAGATGAAGATGAAGATGAAGATGAAGATGAAGATGAAGATGATGATGATGATGCTGATGATGCTGATGATGATGATGGTGATGATGGTGATGCTGCTGTCGTCGTTGATGATGACTGACTATGATGATTAATGATGATGAGGAGGATCGCGGAGACCGCTCAAGGCCGCCTCCGCTGCTGGTTGCGGCCAGAGTGATCGCCCATGCGCCGCGAGCGCGAGCCCTCTCAGCGCGCGCCCGCCGATGGCCATCAAACCAAACTCGCGGCCCATCTCGTCGGCCCACATGTCGGGCAGGCGGGCTTCCCAGCCCAGCCGTGCGCGCACTGGCGCCAGCGGGGCCCGCGTCCGCCAACGCGGCGGTTCCCCCTTCCTGACGCATCCTCCCGGCTGGCCAGAATGCCGACCCGACGCCCGTCGATCGTCGGGGTCGTGCCGTGGGCGAATGATCTTGACCCCAATGAGGATCGGGATGCTGATGTGGTCTAAGATCGGGTCCTAGAAGATCTTCGTGCACATCGAGAAACCCAGGGAGAGTGACCGGCCCACCTCACCGCCGGAGTGCAGCGCGTCAGCCCTCCGACGCCACTCGGCAAGCTTCGTGGCCAGCATCGGTCGGGCCGCGGCGGCGTGGCTGGGCGCAGTCCCGTGCTGTGCAGGCGGCTGCCGGCCGTGGTGTTCTGCTGCTTGGTTCTGGCGGCGCGTGCCAGCTAGACCTTTTCGGCTCTGCCTACGGCGATGTCGGAGGTGCCTCAACCCAAGCCGAAGTTCACCCCGAGGCTCCTGCCCGAGTCGGCCTGCGGGAGGGCCCGCGCGCCCATGGCCTTGGCGACCGCATCCGCCGTGACCTGGTCCGAGGCGAACAACATATTGCCCTGAATGTAGTTGATACAGCAGCCCATGGCTCCAGCGCCGTCATACTGCTGTTGGCCGTCGCGCCGAAGCATGCTCCGACCGCTCCGCGGTTGCCCTTGCAAGCCCGCGTGCAACCGTCGAGCGTGATATTGAGCCCGACGTTGGGCTGCAAGCGCTGTCGCATCCTGTAGCGCTCGGCTGCCGTCCGCTTGGCAGCCTTCAGGACTCGCCCCATCCCTCGGGGCACCATCTTTGAACCGCCGACAAGTCGTCATCGACGACGGGGGGCTCCCCCTCCGGGAGCCGCCGCCCCCCGTCGGCTGCTTCGGCCACGGGGCGCGTGGCCCCCGCGGGCAGTGGCCCGTGGAGGCTTCTGGCGGTGCGGGGCCGCGGACGCGCCCGTCCCCGCGGTCGACATGCGCACCCTGCCAGGAGACCCGGGTCCACCTCCGAGAGGGCGGGTGCCGACCCGAACGCGGCGCGGCCCCGAACGGGCGGACGTGTGGCGCGTGACCTGGGGCTCGCGCGCATCGCCGCCCTGCTGTCTGTTCGCTGTAGCCGACGTCGGCTCCTCCTGACCCTGGCTCCCTCTCGCTCGCTTTACGACGTTTGGCGCATGCGGCGCAACCCACGGAGTCAAAAGAGGAGGAGGAGGAGGAGGAGGAGGAGGAGGAGGAGGAGAAGGAGGAGGAGGAGGAGGAGGAGGAGGAGGTGGACGAGGAGGAGGAGGAGGAGGAGAAGGAGGAGGATGGATGGCACATCATCAGAAGAAGCCCTGGGCGCCGTCCGCAAGCAGACGACGCCCAGGGCCCCAGATGTCTCTCTCGGGCCCCGCGCCGCCACGAGCACGCCACGCGGACGCCGTGGCGACGAGGGGAGGACCCCGAAGAAACCCAGACAGGCATCCGTCGCGACCTTGGCCTGCCCCGAGGGGCAGGCCAAAGGGAAGGGAAGCCACCCCCGCGGAGACAAACGTGGGCACCCCCAACAGCCGCCAGCGGCCGCCCCCACCCCACGGGGATGCGGGTTCGCACACCGCGTGCGAGCCCGATGCCAGACGGCGGCCCCCCGAAGACCCACGCCATGCGGGCACCGCAGGCCGAAATTTCGAGGCGGACCCCGCAAGAGCGGCGCCGGCGAGCCGCCACCTCACGAGAAGACTAGCGCCGCGCCGCGGCCGCGAGGCACGGAGGAGGAGGAGGAGGAGGAAGGAGGAGGAGGAGGAGGAGGGAGAAGGATGAAGCTTGATGTATGTGTGTGTGTGTGTGTGTAAGCCCAGGCGTTCGCCGCACGCCCTCAGACGGTGGAGGCGGACGGGGCAGCAGGTCCCTGGCCCGCGCGCCTCGTCGTCCACGTACTGCTCCACCTCCGCGCAGAGCTCCTCCCCGGGGAGGAGCAGCCACGGGCGCCGAGGGCAGAAGGCGTCGGAACGAGCAGGCACCCGCGGGCAGGGAGCACAAGCAGAGCCGACCATCCTCGGAAGGAGCAGGCGCGAGCCACCACGGTCGCCGCGTTAAGGAGACGCGCGCGGAAACGACGCAACAGCAACAACAATTCCATAACTAGCCCCCCCCCCCGCAGACGCGCATGGGAACGAGGGGTGCGCTCTAGATGTGGCAACTTCATGCGGCGGTAGGTTCACGCGGCGATGGCGCGCCGGTGACACGAGCGAAGGTGTTCAAGGGTGAATTCTGCGACGCGGAAGCACTGAGGGACACGGTGACGCCAGTGGACCCGACGTAATTCAACCTCATCGGGGCCGCGATCGATTCAAGGTGGAACGATCGACGCGGTGTCACAAACCTTTGCGCGCGCCGCACGAACCTACCGTACGCGACGGAAGCCTACCGCATGCGCAGACAGACCTGACAATGACTTCTCTCCGCAACCCAAGCCTGGTGTGACTGTCAGGCCCCTGCTCGAATCCCTGGTCCCTGCCGCCCCCCCACCCCTCCTGGCCCCCCCAGGGCCACCCCAGGAGCACGCCCCCGCGGGCAAGCCCCCCCCCCAGATTCCCCCCCCCCCCCAGGCCTCCTCGCTGGAAGAAGGGAGAAGGCGAAGAAGGTGGTGGACGTTCGCCGCGAACCAGCCCACGCGTGTGCGACTTGAAATGGGTTCGCGGGTGAACGGACCCCCTCCCCTTCCCTCCGAAAGCACGCATGATAAGACGACGGGCGATACCACTGCCCCATCCTACCTTCCTCACAGCCGCGCCCCCTACGTCACTCGCCCTCCTTCGTTTCCCATCATTGTGCCAGGGTGGGAACCCTCTGAGCCACTCGGCGATTATGATCAGCAAGCAGGCAATTCTACAAACAGGACCACAAAGAGCCTCAACAAAAACAGCAGCGCATCTCATTGTCTATCACTGCCCAGATGGATGAATTGCATCCTGACAAGGCCAGCTGATGTGGCGTATGCCGCCTCGTCCCTAGATCTTGGGGCCAAACCTGACCTTGCTGGGGCCCAGGCTCCGTAAACTTGCTACTGCTACTCGAGCTGAAATTAAGTTTGCGCTTGAGAGTTAGTGTTCGCTCTGGCACCAGCTGTAATTCGATGCTTAGCTGTAGCTCTAGCTGGAGGGTTGGCTCCGACAGTGAGGCGTACTGTTGGCTGTAGGTTAGGCTTGGCTTTTAGGTGAAGCTTGGGCATTAGCTTTCGCTGTGATCTAGGGTTTCGGCAGAGGCTTCGACTTAAGCTCGAACATCGCTTGGCGCGATTGCTCCCACCTGCGTTTTCCTGAAACTCTTATCACACCACCGTTTTGATAACCATGGCATGGTTCAAAAAAATGGCACTTGAAGATCCAGGGATCGGATGATTGATAAATCGGATGCTGGAAGGATCGGGCGAGCAAAGGATCTGGTGGCTGATTGGCCGGATAACCCGGATATAGGATAATGCAAGGTGCTTGTGCGAGTTGGTTGATGCAAGTCGGGGATTCCTGAGCTCCAGAGATATTAGTTTAGTCTTCGGCGTATTGGCGCCTTCCTGGGACTGCTTGTGGGCGCTTTCTGGTCTCGAAGGAGACCTCGAATCCTCGATCCTTCATTCTCGGGCCTCGATTCTCGAGCCTCAATCCTCAGTCCTTCACTCTCGACTCCTCGACCCTCGATCCTCGATCCTCGATCCCTTATTCTCGACTCCTCGATCCTCGATCCCCGATCCTTCCTTCTCGACTCCTCGACCCTCGATCCTCGATCCTTCCTTCTCGATTCCTCGACTCCTCGATCCTAGTCCTGTTCGGCTACGCGCAAGAGTGACCCTAGGCACGGGTGGCCTTTAGTGGGCGGCCAAGGGGGGGCCCTTCGGGAGCACCATCAGGCGCGCAAGCCGCTGCTACAGTCGACCCGTATGATACGGATGCGCGGTAAGGATGCTGCAAGGGCCTTGGAGGGCCACGTCGGCACTTTGCGGGCGAGGCGCGGCCAGCAAAAGCGGCCAAGGATGTGCCCAAGGGGAAGGATGCAAGGGGTATTCTTGGACACATTGTTTTCCTTACTGTGCAGGTTGACTGTATCGCACCGCGTTCAGCGATCGGGGGGCCCTATTGGGCCCGCACTGGGGGTCACTCCAGCGAAGGGTCACTCTTACGTGTCCTCCGGCGGGTGGACTTAAGGTGTCCACACGTGTCTCGCCAAGACCTCGAGTTATCAAAGCACGTCGGACCAAGATGTATACCCCCCTTCTCCCCGATTCAAAGATGACGGGTGTGCGCTGGGCCAAAGGCCAGGGACAACATGTGGACACTTCAACTTGGCGCTCGGGAGGGAGGGCTGCGAAGCAACGGCGCTTCGCAGTTGTGGTTGCTACGGTAGAAGGAAACAATTAGTGAACACCCCCCCTGCCCCCCAAACTCAAAGTTGGCACGCGGGGGGGAGACTGCGGTCGAGGTGCAACTCGTCAGACCCACCGCCAACTCTGAACACTGGGGGGAGGGGGAGGCGCTCACAGATGAATGCGGCATGAGTGTTCGCTAATTTTTTCCGAGGCCTGTATCGGTACCGTTTTGTCCCCCAGCGGTGGGTTGCCGTCCCCGTCTGGCGAGGCGGAGCGCGGCCGGGGGCTCTGCCGAGATGGCGTCCACGGGCTGCCCTGTCGGCCCGGCCAGGGTCTGCCTCGGCCGTTCCTCCAGGCCCCCCGCCCCCGACCACAACGCCCGCACCGTATCATGCTGCGTCGCCTTACCGCCGCGGGCGTGGACGCTTGCTGTACGGGCGCCGTCGCCCCGTGTGCGGCGGGCCCCGCCGCAGCCCGGCGTTGCCCCGGCCGCGGCGGGCCGTGCCCGCCGCCGCTGGGCGCCGAGCCTCGCGCTCGCGGCGCCCCGGGGCCGAAGCAGGAGCACGGAGGAGGAGGAGGAGGAGGAGGAGGAGGAGGAGGAGGAGGAGGAGGCGGAGGAGGAGGAGGAGGAGGAGGCGAAAATGGCGGAGGTGGAGGAGGAGGCGGAGGAGGGAGAGGAGGAGAAAGACGAGGAGAAGGAGGAGGAGGCGGAGGAGGAGGAGGAGGAGGATGAGAAGGAGGACGGGGCCTCAAGGAAAGCGGAGGTCTCCCTATTGGGGTCCGAGTGCGGTAGGTTCGTGCGGCGTCCGCGCGCGCAAAACTTTGTGACGCCGCGTCGATCGTTCCGCTTTGAATCGATCGCGGCCCCGCTCGTTCAAGGTTGAATTCCGTCGGCCCAATGGCGCTACCGTGTCCCTCGGTCCTTCCGCGTCGCAGAATTCAACCTTGAACGCCTTCGCCGGCGTCGCTGGCACGCTGACGCCGCATGAACCTACCGTTGATGGTGTCGGGGGGTCGTGCCGCATCGCCGATACATCGCCGATGCATCGGCGACGTCGGCGTGGAGAAAATCTGGCCCTAAATCAGGCCGCATCGCCGATGCATCGGCAATGCGGCGCAACCCTCAGACCCCATCTACTCAGACCCCATTTCGGAGGCCTGGAGAAAAGCGACACCACCACCACCACCAGGGACTACCAGCAGGAGGAGCCAGGGAGGGGGACCCCTGGTGGTGTGTTCCCCCCCTCTGGCTCTAGACATCCCCTGTACCCAGTGCGGGGAAGCATCGTGGAACTCCTGGCTCGAGGTGGTCGGCCCCCCTGGTAGTGGTGGTGGTGTTGCTTCTTCTTCCTCTGACGACGGGCTCACGCAGAAGGAGGAAGAACGGCACAAATAAACCTTGACTTTCGCAAGCCCGCGCGGACTTCCTCTTGGATCGGCGCCGGGCCCCCCGCCCTGGCGTGCGGAGAGCGCTGGAGGCGGCGCCGGAAACGGCGCCAGGGGCGTCCAGCGCAGATTCAAGAACTCTGTGCGGACCTTCGAACACTTCTTTACAATCGGGAACACCTGCTTAACGTGCCTCGGCGCAGCCCCTGCGGCATGCCATGCCCTGCGAGCCGACAGCGTGTCGCTCCGCTTCGCAGGACGGGAGGCGGAACAGCTCTGGACGTCGACGCTTGGGGACTGGGCCTTGGCTTGCGTGCCGCGCCGCCGTGGGCCAGGACCGGCAGCGCGACATGCAGGCTGAGCATTCTCCGACCGTGCAGTCGGACTTCATTGGACAGGACATGCGAGAGGACAGAAGACCCTTCCGAGGGCCACATTGCCATAGGAATGCAGGAGGCACGGGTCGCGAGATGTCGCGAGACGCAGGACACAAGGGTACCCTTGATTTGGCAGGGTCGACCCACTAATCCGGGCCGACTGTACGTGCATGCTTTTCTTCACGCACGCGGCGGCCTTCACGGTCTGCGTGTGCCTCCCTCCCGCGCCCCACGGCCTCCGGCCCCCCCTCCCCGCTCTCCCGTAGTGCCTCGCCGTGCTCCGGCGCGTCCCGCCGCCGCTTTACCGCCGTTTGGATCTCTCACGGCCGCCGACCAGACAATAACTGCTTTTCTCCTTCGATCCCAAGGTCCTTGTTTGTCTTCTTGCGCTCCTCGTCCAGGACGTCCATCAGCTTCTGCATCAGGGTGTCCCTCATCAGCAGCTGGGCGGCATGGGCTGCACTCCTGCTGAGGCCCAGCTCCTCCTCGTCCTCGGGGGTGAGCGGGCGCCGGGTATCGCATCCATACGCTCCTCCTCCCGCCCCAAGTCCTGTAATCTTATATTCCCTCCTCCTCCTCCTCCTCCCTTGTTCCGCCGCCTCACTCCTTCTTTGGTCGCGAGCATGCTGGATATCGCCTCCCTGCGCTCATCCTCATTTTCCTTCCTCCACTGTTCCTCCTCCTCCTCCTCCTATTCCTCTCTCCTCCTCCCTCCTCATCCCTTCCCCCTCTTAATCTTTCTTCTCTTCCTCCCCCTCCTCCGCCTCTACCTCCCTCCCTGCCTCCCTCCATCCCTGCCTCGCTCCCTCCCTCCCTCCTCGTGATTCCTGCCTCCCTACCTCTCTACCTCCCTCCTCCCCATCCCGCCCTCTTCCCTCGTCCTTGGGAGCGAGCAAGCTAGAGATCGCCTCTCTGCACTCGTGCACCTGGGGTCACGGTCGAGTGGCCACTCGAATGGCCAGGGGGCCCAGGAACCAGCCAAACAGACGACCCTCGAGGAGGAAGGGCAGTCAAAGAGAAATACGAGGAGGAGGAGGAGGAGGAGGATGAGGA